GTTTCAAACTTAGCCTTGCATAAATTTTGGGAGAGCACTTTTCTAGGGGGAGTGTTGCCGAAATTCCTGCAAAGACTAAGGAGTTAGTCAGATTTTGTCTAAGTTGAACTCAAGGTTAGGGGCTAAGTTCAAATTCGACTTGGTATAAATCTGGGAAATCCACAATTCCAAAGGTTGTGCTGCCCAAATTTTTACTAATTCAGAGAGTTAGGCAAAATTTGACTTTCAAGAGTGATAGATTACCCCGACTTTTGATATTTGAGCTTGTATAAATTCGGAAAAGGCACTTTTTCCACGGGAAGCGCTGCCGAAATTTTCCTTAATTAGAGGAATTAGGTTATATTTTGGCACGTGGCAATTCTCGCAATCCACCCTAAATAGGGGAGATTCTGTCGTAGTCTACCTTTGTTTAGGCACTGGCTTAGAAGCAAGCTTGGACTTAGTTGGTAGAAAACTTTGGGTGAGAATGTGCTATGGAGGTTTATCCCCCATATGCTGACGATTTAACCTGGGCATTTGACCTATCTTGTGTTACAGGTTCTTTGGAGTGTCTGATCCAAGATCAGGACTAGATTCAACTTGATCCCTTGAGGGTCACTTTCTGTTATCACTGATAACAGGTCGGTTGTCGATTCGTCGGTCCTCGACTCAATTCCAACTCACTCTCCATACTCAACCTAAAAGGCTTTAGCCCTGGTGGTTTCACTGTTTGTTAAGGGTTTCACCCGGACTTTTATTGAATGACCATTTAACAAAGGTACTGAGTATTTAGTTGAGGTTGGTTGGAAAGACAATTGGGGCTTGCATGGCTAAAGCGAAGGGGTATGAGCATAGAGAATGGTTGGGGTTGACTCCGTGTAGTGCGTGTTTTATCGTTCGATTTTGATGTGATTGTAGGTATGTCCTGTGACTCGGATTTTGCATTTGGACTGCCTACGACCCCATATACATACACATGGTTGTGAGGAGTCCACAGTGCCTGTGAGAAGTGATCGTCACAACTCTATCTCCCTTTGCATGTATGCGTGGGTATACTTACGATGAGTGTTCGAGAGGCCTAGGAGGCAAGGTTAAAACCCGTTTAAAGATTGAGGTCGAGGGGTAGGAGAAGCCATCGCGCCTGCCCATTTGCGTCTTAAGGCTTTCTTAGTCGGACGTTGGTCCTGGGCCAGGATTCAAGGTCCTTGTCCAGGACAACCCAAGCCCTAGACTCCGCACGGGAGGGGCTCCCCCTCGCATAGAGCCTATTTACTTTGGCCGGCGGGACACCCCACCTTGAAGGCGGAAATGTTGCGAGGGCCGAACGGCGTGTCCTTCAGCCGTTCAATATCGTGAGGGGTGACCCCTCGCGATATGTTCCTTCAACGATTCAATATCGCGAGGCCGGAGCCGCGATTACCACGTATGACTGACATTGGTTGTTGGCATAGAATTGGCCTGCGGCCACCCAGCTTTATGTTAGAATCCCGCCCGCGACGTTTCGCCGCCCAGCGTCAAAAAGTTATGGGACTGTCGGGCTCGCACGTAGGCGTTGCGCTCGGGATTATTGTAGGCCGTCGGCACCACCCATAGAGGGGAAGGGGCTCCAAGGCCACGAGTCTTTCCAAAGTCAGGGGACTTTTGCCCTATTCCCTCCTCTTGGGTCCGTGCGTCTTTTGTTTGTTTTTTTGAGATTTCTATGGTTGGACGTTGTAGTCAGTGGCAAACATCAAAGTCAAACCCCTTGACTTTTGCCCAGGCCCGGGGAGGACTCACCCCTAGGGCCGCGAGAGACGACTACCACCACAGACTTTGGACCTGTGTACCACCCGCTCTGCACAAGGGTGCAAAAGAGGGTGTGTGGTCTTCAACCGCGCATGGCGGTTGTCCAGCGTCGAGAGATTAACCCTCAAGGCGCGTGTCAGCCGACACTTGAGTGTCGAATAGGGCCCTCGAGATTAACGAGGATTGTGTGAGTATGGGTACTACATAGTACGCCATCATCGCGATTGCGTGCGTACGCTTGCATTGCGAGTCGATATGAGTTAGCCCTGCGTCCGCGCGGTTTTATACTAAAGTCTCGTGCGCGACGCCTATCCGATTTCCGCATCGGAAAGTTATGGGTTGGCTACCGAGGGGCTAGGAGCGTGGTCGCGTTGTTTGTGGTGCGTCGCGTTGTAAGTGCGTGTGTGCGTGCGTCTTATTTTCGTGTTCGTAGTGTGGTGTGCGCGTGGTGTGTGGGATGCGTCCTAGTCGACCGACGACGAGTCGCGCTTGGGACCTCAGCCCCCCAAGATGTCGGTTCGTGTGCGGGTCCGATAGGCATATTACCGCGCGTACCCCCTATGCTACAGCGAACGAGAAACGCCCTCGGCTGGTCCACCTCTGCGATTGCAACTGATTAGCTTTCGTATTGTGGATTGGTAGCTCGGCGGGGATACGCCCACCGATGGGAGGTGACAGCTCCCGTAAGGTGGAGGTAGGTCATGCCTCGCATAGGCCCTATCCTGTCGTAGGGGCTCGCGAGAGGTATGGCTGGCGCACTCGGTCAAAGCGGCCTAAGGAAGCTTCATTTGCGCGTTAGTGTTGAGGTTGGTCCAACTCCTGCGTGACGCGGCCGAGAGGGTCCCGCACTGCCACGCGAGGTGCTGGACCGATGCGCTCGATAGGTGGCGCCGTTGCCGGGGATAACGGAAGCCTACCGTTGTCCCTGGTGGAACGACATTCGGGTATGGGAGTGAGGGAGAAACTAGGCATATAAGTGAGTAAGGGAAGGATTGTGAGATGGATTGTATGGTGGTCTATATGGCTGTGGGTATGAATGTTTGATTGATTGGCGGCCTGGCTGGTGGCGTGAATGAGGCGAATGTGTGAGGAGATTTTATGGTAAGGGTGGGTCTTATCTAGGTAGGCCTAAGGGGGAATGAGAAGAGAGATGTATGCCAGGTCTAGAGCGACGGATGCTTGAGGGGTCAACCCGATAGGGTCGTGAGGGATTGAGTCGCTGAGTGGGGTCTTTTGTCCTATCGTTTCTTATAACAAGAAGTTTGAAGCCGGAGGCGGTTGGCCAAAGTGCTAGAGGAAATGGCGGACAGTGGGAAGAGGCTTGTGACTCTCAACGACCTCATCGATGCCTTGGACAAGCGCGAGAGGGCGCCGAGCAATGTCCCAAAGGTTGAGACATTCCATTTCAAGGGGGATCGGGTATCTGACTGGTTGGATCTGACAGAGCAGGCGTTGGTAGGGTTGTCAGATGAGATCAATCTCCAGCGGGTTCTAAGGTACGTCCTGCATAGTCACCATCGGGAAGTAAGAAAGGTCGTGGACGCCTCCGGTGGCAGCTGGACAAAGTTTGGGGACCTGATGCGGAGGAAGTACAGGCTGGGGGATGGCCTGTTGACCATGGCCGATTTGGAGGCCATGAATAAGGAAGACTTCTCTACCATTGGGGCGTTCATGCACGGATTTAAGAAGAAGGCGAGGAAAGTGCACGGGATTTTGGAGGAGGCGAAGTGCGCCACATTTCTGGGATTGCTTACGGGCTCGGAGGCCGCAGAATTGACAAAGCATGGGGAAGGGAGTGAGAAGCTCACCTGGGCAACTATAGACAAAGGGGTGGAAGAAGGGAGCCTGGACCAGGTGGAGCAGCACCAGATGCGGCTGCAGAGGCGTAAGAGGAAGGAAAGGGATGCCACCGCATCCGGGACCCCAGGGGTAAAGAGAATCGTCACGGATGTGTTGGCGGCGCTGGGGTATGACAGCGAAGCGGAGCTACAGAAAAGAGGGGTGGCAGTGGCCTAAGGCCGGGCGTGAGAAGCAGGAGATGAGGAGGCTGGGCGCGAAGACTATGGCGGAGGGGAGACGGGCTCCCAAGCCTTGGCTAAAGACAAGAGGAAGCAAAGTAACCTACTACTGGGAGGGCAGGGATTAGGGAAGGGGCAGGCTCCCCAAGCCATTGCTGCACCACCGCCTGTCGTCGCGGCCGCACCAGCGTCAGCGCCAGCGCCAGCAGGGCCATCGCATATGGGGCCGCCACCAGCCTGCGGGCACTGGGTGCCGCATTGTCAGTCTGCGCCCTGGCCCAGTTGCAACCACTGTGTCTCGTGTGGAGGGAGTCAAACCCACACGGGGCACATGGTCCCCTATTCGGGCCCATCGGCAAGTATGGGCCCCCCGAGCTACCCGGCGACTCAAGGTCAGCCTGTGGCCCAACCGCCGCCCTCCTAGCAGGCCTCGCAAGCTAGCGTGGCCGGGGGAGGGAGTCAAGGACAAGGCAGGCAAGGCAATGGGGGCCGAGGCCAAGGAGGCCGAGGAGGGGGTGGTCGGGGGCGAGGGAGTGGTGGGGGCCGTGGGGGTGGTTGGAGTAATCAGGGAGGCCAGAGCCAGGGCGGCCAGGGCAGCCAGGAAGGGGGCCAAGGGTATGGAAGGCCCCGCTTCGATTGGCGGAACGCAACTTGTTGGCATTGTGGCGAGGTGGGCCACACAATACGGTTCTGCCAACAGCGGCGGGACGACGAGCTGGCAAGACTGATCTCCTCCTGTATGGACGGGGACATATATGATAGATGGGGAAAGCACATCGATCCCAAGACCCCAGAAGGAATCAGGCAGGAAGCCCTCAGGCGAGCGGCGGCAGGACCTCCAGCAGCCCCAACAATATTCAGGATATGGCAGGAAAGGCAGCACCCGGGTGTGAGAGTCGAGGAGATTGTATGAAAATGAGGAAGTGACTCAACGGCTGAAGGCGGGGACTATAAAGGAGGAACCGATAGTCGTTGAGTCGGACGACGAGGAGTTGGAAGTGGTGGGAGAGTCCGCCTCGACCATCCTGGAAAGGATGGAGGACCTGCTTGCAAAGGTCGGCAGGTACTAGGAACGACTGAGAGTGATGTGCGAAGAGGCACGGGAGTGGGAAATGAACCTTCCTGAAGTAATGCTCTATGGGTCCGGCCCGGAGTCATCATCAGGACCGCAAGGGTGTCCAAGCGTGGCGACGGCCGGGGCAGGTCCTAGGTGAGGGATGACCTTCAGACCCCCTACGTCGCATGGAAGGGTGCCACAGGCCGCGCAGACTAGGGGCCAAAGTAGGGCTACCGCTGGTCAAGGGCCCAGCCAGGCACCTGGTCGGGCGCCTCCTCGAAGGGAACCTGAGCCTGAACGAAGGAAAGAAGTGGTGGAGGTTCAGGAGGAGGAAGAGGAGGGTGATGATGAAGAGGAAGAGAGGCTCCGGCAGGAGGAGGACCAGCGAGCCGAGCAGAGGGCCAAGAAGAGGGGAATTCAGGGAGCGGCAGAGCCAAGCCTGCACGATGGCGCGCCAAAAAGAAAAAAGTACGTGGTCCGACTAGAGGAGGGCTTCGACGTGGAGCGAATGGTGGAGAAGCTCCTGGAGGGTCATAACGATTTGATGAATCTAAAGGATATCTTAGCGTCGGCACCAAGGCTCCGCGGTGAGCTGAAAGGGGCTCTCACGAAGGCTAGTGCCCAACGTCCACCTGAGCTCGATTTTGCCCAGGGAGATAGAGTGGACAGAGGCGGGCACCAGGATGGATTGGAAATGTGTGGCGTGTGGGTTGGTGGATTTGAAGGAGAGGGACCAGCCGAGCATCGCGATGGTGGACATGGGCGCTGAGATGAACATTTGCGAGATGCGACCATCCTAGGATTGGAGGTTGACCATTCGGACCATGGTGTGCTGCATGGGGCCAACTGTAAGGCGATTTTCTGCGGGACCGCGTCTAACGTGATGGTGGAAATTGGGAGGGTAAAGGCGCGAACGTGTTTCTTCATCATGCCCGATGTCGACCACCCTATCCTTCTGGGGAGGTTGTTCCTCTGCCGAACAGAGACCTTGGTCTTCAACAGGCATGAGGGCACAATGATCCTGGCCCTATCTGATCCGGCCTGCGGGAACTACGAAATCATCAAGTGCCGGAACACAGGGCCCGGAAGTGGGAGGAACAGGCTCAACCTCGGCTCCTTTACCTTCGAGGAGTCTGAGTACGCGTGACGAAGACTTCGGGAGGAACTAGAGGAGGGAGGAGCGGACGAGGTATTGTCCCTAAGCCTTAATGATGCAAATAAGGCAATGGAGGTGGTGGCGGCGCATGATATGGCGGACCCTGAAGCTATAAAAGAATTACGGGAGCGCGCGCAGGCAGGGTCGTGCCGCATCAATAACGAAAATGAGGAAGGGCTGATAATTGGCGAGCCTGGCTTCCTTTCGCCCCAGGAGAGGACCTTGATGGTGGAGACAATGAAGAGGAGGCATTGCGCGTATGCGTTTAATGACGACGAGCGTGGGAGGTTGGAAAAGATTCCAATGATACGAATCCATACCGTCCCGCACGAGTCGTGGAACCAGAGGGGCGCGCGATACCCGAATCCGGATGAGGAGAGGAAGGTGGTGGACTACTTGGACGGGAAGATGCGGACGTATGTGGCTGATTACTCCAGTGGACCGTCTGCTTCCCCTTTTTTTTGTTTTATCAAACCGAACGGGACGGTACGGTGGGTGCAGGACCTGCAACGATTGGATGCAGTGACGGTGCGGGACACGGGAGGATTATCGAACGCGGACGCCCTGTCAGAGTCATGCGCAGGAAGGCCTATAATCTCGCTTATAGACCTTTATTCGGCGTATGACCAGTTTCCTGTATACTCGCCGGATAGGCCGGTAACGTCGATGCATAACGTCGAAGCATACGCCAAGGGGGATGATCCACATGAACGTGGCCCCTCAGGGATGGACTAATGCAGTGGCGATGGTGCAAAGGCACATGATTAGGGCTATGCAGACGGTTAGTCCACATATCACTCAGCCTTACATTGACGATTTGGCGGTCAAGGGTCCAAAAGAGAAGGAGGAAGACGAAGTGATGCCAGGAGTGAGGCGGTTCGTCTGGAAGCACATCCAGGATATTGATCAAGTTCTGGGTCTGCTGGAAGAACATAACCTGACGGCAAGCAGCCCCAAGTCGAAGCACTGTATGAGGGAGGCCACGATTCTGGGCTTTTGTATGCAATGAGAAGGGGCGGAGGCCAGATGTGAAGAAAACGGACAAAATCCTAAAGTGGTCAGTTCCCTTTCAGTCGATAACGGACGTGAGAAGCTTCCTTGGGACCTGTGGGTTCTGGAGGAGTTTTGTGAAGGACTTCGCCACCAAAACGGAGCATTTGAGGAAGCTGGTGCGTCAGGACCAGGAGTGGGTCTGGGGCGAAGACCAGGAGAAGGTTGTGGAAAGGATGAAGGTAGAGTTTAAGGAAGGAGGCTTGGTGCTGGGAGCGCCAAATTATGAGGCCACGGAGGAGAAGCCATTCGTGGTCGAGACGGACGCTGGGCCAACTGCCTTAGGAGGGGTCCTAATTCAGGCAGATGCGGATGGGAAGGAGAGGCCACTAAGGTTCGAAAGTCATACTCTCAATACGACTGAAAAAAATTACTCACAGTTTAAAAAGGAGACGTTGGCGGTGCTCCATTGCCCAAGGACCTTCCGGAACTATATCTTTGGCAGGAGGCTCATTTTGAGGGTGGACCCTACTGCGCTTGTGTGTTCCCTGAAAAGTTATATTCCATCTGACCCAACCATCGCGAGGTGGTTGACTTACATTTGGATGTTTAACTTTGAGTTGGAGAGGATTCCAGGGGATAAAAACAGGGTAGATGGGTTGAGCCGTATCAACTAAGATGGGGTGAATCAGGAGTCAATTGAGGATACCCAACCAGTTGACGGGTTCTTGGACCGGGAGGAGGACGTCCGCCTCCACATAAATGAGTGGTCGTTGAGGGTGCCTAGCTGCGTCACGCATCCTATATGGCTAGCACCAAGAGGGTACGAGCGAAAGGAGGAGTTGGTCGTTGAGGGTACGCATAGTCTGGCGGAGGAGGTAAGGACAATAGAGGAAGGGCCAACCCAGGTAGAGGAGCATGAGCAAATAATAGGAGGGATGCACTTGCTCACTAATACGCTCCTGCAGGGGAACTTTAACCAGAGGAGCTCATCCTGTTCTGAGGAGAGCGAACTTCTTATTCCTGAAAACCAGGACGACGAGTTCGAAGAGGGAGAGATCAGGGAGGCCTTCCGCGCTGAGGAATATGACGGGATTTATCGGGAGTTGAGGTTACTCCTGTCGTGCGAGATAAGGGATAGGGACGTAAGTGCTAAAGCCCAGAAGATGAGACATCTCTACGTAGTAAGAGATGACCATCTGTTTATAAAGCGACAGGTCGGAAACCCCAAGAGGATCGTATGTGGGAGGAACCGGCAGATCGACGACATACAAAAAAAAAATTCCCATGAGAAATGAAAGTTGAAAAAACATTCCATAAAAAAAAAATCCTTCATATTTATAAATTATCATTCCAATGTTTGTCCAATTCTAAAATTTTCAATTTAATTTGATAAGTTCCCGTCTAAATATGAGTTTTCCCTTCCAACTACATCTATTTGTTCAAGATGGAATGAAAGTCTGGACGAGTTTATGAAATGTTTTAATTAGACTTTCATTTTACTACAACAAATATCGTCTAATTTAGATTGGATTAACCTATTTATGACTGGAAATCCTTACTTAGAATGTAAGTCCAATTAAAATATTTCATGAACTCATCCAGACTTTCATTCCATCTCTAGCATGCAGTTCAAATAAGAAGGGATACCCCATTCGTGGAAGGAAAGCTTTCAAGTAAGATGAAAATTTTTAAAATTGGAATGACATTTTTTAAGATGGAATGAAAATTTGAAATTTAGAATGTAATTTTACTCTAGAATGATTATTTAATTCTGGGAAATTTTTCTGTTGTAGCAGCCCTACACGATGGTATAGTAGGGGGGCAAAGAAGGGTTAGTGTCACGTGTGCAAAAATATGTGAGTTATACCATTGGGATCGAATGCTGACTATGGTCATCAAGTACTGCCAGTCCTGTGTACCTTGCCAACAGAGGTCGACGCAAAGGTCTGGGGAGCCTCTGCACCCCAGGTTGGAAAGGGAAGTGGGTGCGGTCGTACACCTGGACCTGTTGTTTATGCCACTCGGGGAGGATGGAAGTAACTATATTTTCGACGCGCGGGACAACCTTATCGAGTTCATGGACGGCCGGGCTATTCGCACCAAGACCGGCCCAATTTTAGCAAGGTGCATCGAAGAGTACTACCTGCGCTATCCGTTTGTCAGAGAATTTGTGATGGACCAGGGGTCGGAATTCACCTGTAACGAGGTGCGGACCTTACTTGCAGGGTATGGCGTGGTAGCAAACTATACTACTGCCGCACACCCCTAGGCAAACGCACATGTGGAGAGGGGGCATAGTACCATCACGAATCTTCTGGCCAGATGGACTGAGGGGAGGCCTAACCAGTAGCCGAAGTTCCTGAGCGCAACATTCTTCGTGGAAAATGTTACAGTCAAAAGGACTACCAAGTATGCGCCAGCCACACTATGGTACGGAAGGCATGCCACCTTTCCCATAGAAAGCTTCATGAAGACGTGGAGGCGCCAGGACCTGGAAGTGAACCTGTCTTTTGAAGAACTGCTTGATATACGGGCGCGGCAGGTAGGAGCCTCCGAGGAAAGGTTGCGAGAGGCCGCTGGTCAGGTAGAGAGGAGCCATATGGAGGACAAGATGAGATGGGACCAGATGGCCCGGGTAAGAAAGGATCCGCTGAAAGTTGGGGATGCGGTACTGCTGTATGACTCCTCGCTGGAAAAACAATGGTCTAGGAAAATTGACAAGCGGTGGTTGAGACCCTATAGGATCGTGCGATGTAGCGAGTTTGGGGCCTACCAAATTGAAGAGTTGGATGGGGCCGGGTGGCAGGACTGGGTATCAGGGACAAGGCTGAAGAAGTTCGTGGCCAGGGAATAGGTAAGGGACCATGAGACCTCGTTAGGAATAGAGTCTTGCCTAGGTATTACCCATGTCAGATGATTAGATAGGTGGGTGATTGGGGTGGATGGGTGTGGAATGTATGTGGGATTTCCCTAAACCAATGGGCTCAGTTGCTGACCCTGCTGTGTGCCTGTTTGCTGTCTCTCGCCTGTTGTGCAGGTCTGACTTTTCGAAGGCAGTCATGCAAAGGGGCGGGAGGGACACACGGCCACGGCAGGGGCCCCTGAGGGCAGCAGGAGGGGGCGAGCAGCATGAGCCACCTAGGACGGAGCCTACGCCTACGCCTGAGTTCGATGACGACAACATTGAGTTCTTCTTGGACGTATATCGGGATCATGCGGCACAGAGAGGGTGGTCAATGGCGGAGAGGATCCACCACTTGAGGGGTATAGGGCGGTTTGAGGAGCCTGTCGCTCAGATATGTGAGGAGGCCCTGACTTGGCCAGATGTGGAGGCCGGGATGCAGAGGTTGAGAGCTTCCCCTAGAGGGCGTGATGGCATGCCCATTCGACTGGAGGAGGGGAACGCGGAGGAGTTCATTCCCACATATGAGCACTACATGTTGAGTCAGGGGATTGCGCGGGAGGAGTGGATGAAGGCGCTACTTATCTGGACTAGGGGGGCAGAGAGGCCAGTGGCCAGACAGATTCGGGAGAGGGCGCGAGATTGGGAGGACTGTCAGGCCCAACTCCGGAGGGCGTTCGGACGGCCAGAGCGTGAGAGGCCCAAGCCCAGGGTCGAGAGGCGAAGGCGAAGTAAGAGGCCAAGGGAGCCGGCACCGAGAGAGGTGGGGCTGGCCAGAGAAAGGAGGAGGGCCCCAGCACAGCGGGAGGATGAGCCCACGGGGCCCGCATTGGCCGAGGAGTCGTTCCCTGCTTGTGGCCTCCGGGCAGTTGAGTTTCGGCGGATTACGAGCGAGGAACTAAGACCGCCCTCACCGTTGCCATCAGGGCAGGAGATGGACATACCAGGAGAGACGCCATTCCGAAACTTAGCGACTCACCTTACTGTATCTCGATGGGAGGCCTCACGGTTGGGGGAGGGCTCAGTTGAGCCGACACGCTATGTGCCGTTGGAGGAACCTTTGGACCCCGAGACGGAGATGGACACACGAGGCCGAGAGGAGCCGCAGGATCCTGAGATGGCAGCCAAGCAGCCGGATCCGGTACGGCCTCAGGGCGGGGAGGTGATCACGGTTGGAGACGATACCCCTCCATGTTCCCCAGTTCCGGAGCCAGCACAACATTCATGGCCAGAGGGGATTCCAAAGCCAGGCAGCGAGGAGATTCCGGAGTTTCCCCCAGAGACCACTGCGGTGCCTGAGCAGGAGGTAGAGATGGAGGAGCAGGGGGCGGGTGAGGGAGCGAGGATGGAGGCGATTTACGATTTACCTTCAGTCATGCCCACGATCGAGCGCCCAGCTATCGAGGAGCCTGTACTGGAAGGGCTACCGTCGACATTGCCGAGTACGAGCAAGAGGATGGGGGCCGAGACGTCGACTCCGGAAGGCCGGGGGCCGCGAGTGAGGGGTGCCCCAAGAGAGACCCGCGAAGAGAAGTCCGCCGGAGTGCGGGTCCGTCTGGACGAACTACATGCGAGACAGGCTGAGATGGAGGCGTCGGGGATAGAGCCGACACCGCCGGTCGAGCCCAAGACGAGCGAGCAGAGGATTGACGAGTTGTGGGCCAGATACGAGAGCCAGATACGAGAGCCAGAGGGATGCGGCCCGCCAGAGGTCACGAGAGATGGGGCAGGCGGACGAGGAGGCGGGTGAGCTGAGGGAGATGGGGGACTTGGGGTTCTCTGCGACTAGAAAGGTGATTGAGCGTGTGGATAGGAGGATATGCGAGACGACAGTTACATCCTTCCAGTGGTATAATCTACTCAGCAATGAGCTCAGGGTCAGAGAGTTGGAGGTGGAGCACCTGACTACTCAGCTTGCCGAGGAGAGGGCGAGGAACCAGGCCAGAGAGGTTGAGTGGGAGAGGAGATTTGGGGAGATGGCGGCCGCTGTGGATAGGCTCTCGGCAGCCTGGGAGAATAGCCAGGCGGGGCGAGCCGGTGTCGATGGCCAGGGCCGAGGGATGCAGGCCTCGCCGAGTCAGGGGGCAGCGATGGAGGCCCGTCGATAGGCTGAGCCAATGGGGGAGGTGACCTTGGACGCAGCCGAGGAGCAGGGTGACGCACAGGAATCGCTTATGGCTATGTCCACGGAAAGGAGAGGTTCGCCGCAAGAGAAAAATTCCCATGAGAAATGAAAGTTGAAAAAACATTCCATAAAAAAAAAATCCTTCATATTTATAAATTATCATTCCAACGTTCGTCCAATTCTAAAATTTTCAGTTTTACTTGATAAGTTCCCATCTAAATACGAGTTTTCCCTTCCAACTACATTTATTTGTTCAAGATGGAATGAAAGTTTGGACGATTTTATGAAATGTTTTAATTAATCTTTCATTCTACTACAAGAAATATCTTCTAATTTATATTGGATTAACCTATTTATGACTGAAAATCCTTACTTAGAATGACAGTTCAATTAAAATATTTCATGAACTCGTCCACACTTTCATTCCATCTCTAGTATGCAGTTCAAATAAGAAGGGATACCTCATTCTTGGAAGGAAAGTTTTCAAGTAAGACATAAAATTTTAAAATTAGAATGACATTTTTTAAGATGGAATGAAAATTTAAAATTTAGAATGTAATTTCACTATAGAATTATTTTTGAATTCTGGGAAATTTTTCCGTTGGCGTTTGCATGAGCTGGCGGCAACCATGGGGATAGGCACTCCACAGGAGAGGCCTTAGAGGCTCGGCGCTCCAGAGCATGCCCCGAGGTTGGGAGAGTTGAGGGCGGAGCTGGGCTCCTGGGCCACGGAGACGGACTCAGCAGGGCCTGACTCGCGGCAACAGCAGCAGCAGGATGTCATAAGTGAGCCCACCGCCATGGGGGGCTCTCAGCCGTCAGGAGCATATGGGGATGAGGTGGTGGTGGTGACAGAGAGGCCTCATGAGGAGGGCCCCCGAGGGTTGGACACGCGAGGCTGCAGGCTAGTTAGCACAGTCATACGAGAGGGTGAGGGTGCTGAGGCTATGGAGTCTGGACCTCAGGGCCATATGGGATTGCCCTCGTGTCATGAGGTGACCACTGAGACCATGGGAACACCTTCGGCATCGAGTTCCCGGGGGAGAAAGAAGAAGACTGCCAGGTGGCACGACACTTCCTGTTTTTTGTGCAAGAAGGAGGGGCATAGAGCCGTGGACTGCCAGAGCTCCTTAAGGATAAGGCCGAGGGGCGGGTAGCAGAGATCGACGGCAAGTTCTATGACAGACAAGGCAGGGTAGTGGAACGAGCTCCAGATGGGGGCAGGGCCCAGTTATACAGGCAGAACCAGAAGGAATTGTGTGAGTAGGGACTGGTCTCTCTATGTGTCAGTAGGGTCAGAGTATGTGGCACACAGGGAGCGGGTTGGAGGTGTATATATACTTAGTTGGCTGAGGGGGCCCTAGATGTGTGCATAGTTTAGAGGTGATAGGATGAGTCTCTGCTTGCTCATATATACCTAGTTGATCGTGTTTTCGTTGAGCTGTTCTTTCCTGGGCTACGGCTTAGGGCGTGAGGGTTGGCCGTAGGACACCTGGGGCTATTCAGTCCATGTTTGATTTCGCGGTGCGGAGGTTACTTGAGTTTTGAGAGAGACTTGGGTATGAGTTTTCCCTAGTTAGGTGAGACAGGGGGTTAGGCACCCATTAGATTTAGGTAGATGTTGTGTCTCGAGCGTGATCCGCGAGTGTACAGTGGGGTCGTGAGCCATGCTCGGATGGACAGAGTTTGAGTTGGGTGTTTGTGTTTGAGTCTTGAGGGAGGCATTCTACTCCCTGAGTGTATCATGAGTTGAAATCCTATGGGACTTGTCTTGTGACGACCACTATCACTCTCACATGTGTGGCGTTATCCTGATGTATGATTGGCTTGGTGTGAGGGGTGTACAGGATACATCTCATGGGCATGATTGTGTAAACTGTAAAGTTGTCTACCTTCCGGTATACCCGTGCGGTCTGCTTGCATGCGGACGAGAGGGCAGAGTATAAGGAAGGGGAGTGCAGCCTGTTTGTGAAAAATTGTGAGAATCCTACGGGATTGATGGATTCAGAAATTTGCATGCTTGGTCGTACTGAACACCGTGGTCTAAGTTGTACAAGGACCCAGAAGATGGTCCCTCAGTTTGAGTTGTTTGGTGATTAAGACCCCCTTCATGGTGGGAGTTGCATTATTATCGAGGCCCCTTCATGGTTTTGGAAGAGGTTGCGTGAAGAGTCATCCCATACGGAAAAGGGGGTGGCCGTGAAATCTTTTGTGAGAGGCACCCTTTACCAAGTAAGGGTGGGTAAAAATTGAATGATATGGGAAGCATTATTCGTGTTAATAAAGTCTAACGAGAGGGGACCATGTTTGTTTGAAATGTTTGAGAAGGGCGAGAGATGCCTCAGGATGGGCGACTGCTGGTCAGGAGCCGCGGCCTTGTGGATCCGGCGGGGAGACTGTTTGTGATTGAGCGAAGGATGTCGTGCCTATTATAGGAGGGCCGGTAAATGCCTTCAGACCCCTGCGTAGTCCCGCAACGACCGTGAGTTGTTTGTGATGCCCCGCCGGGCCACCTGTGCTAATTCTGAGACATATTTGAGGGAATACCAAGCTAACGGTAAAGTTTAGTGCCACCTGGGCGCAACCCCTAGTGGATGGCTGCTAGCCGGCACAACCTGGCTGCGGGCCCGCGAGGTAAGAGTTTAAGGGGAGTTGCCCACCCCAGAGAAATTACCCCGCAGGATAGGAGTCGAGTCTGTTGGAAAATCCTGATTGACTGACTATCGGGAAAGACGCCTATTGTTGTATAACCAACGGGAGGATACCGCCGCTAAGGTAACAATGCGGTGGGCCGTAGACCTGGCCCGATCAACCAGGCTATGGTGGGCTCAGATGGAGACCTGGCGTTTCCGTACTAGACTCCAGAAAAGGCCGAGAGAAGCTGTAAGCTATATGTATGTATTTTGTTTGATTGTGAGAGAATTGCTGAAAAAATGCAAGAATGTCTTCACAGGTCCCATTCAAAGCCCGCATCCCTAGTTATAGCTCCGCTTACGAGAAAGAGGCTAACTGGGACACCCAACGAGAGGCCGGCGGTTGTCTAGGACAAAAGGGAAGATAATGGTTTGAGGGCCTTTGGAACTTATGCTGTAGTATTGATGCGTAATACACTGGCGTCCTGGTGTCAGGACAATGGAGACCCAGGTTGAAACCCTGGCAGCATATAGTTGTGTTGGCACGGTTTGATGAAGGCCTCAACCCTGAGTATGTTGACTAATCGGATTGGTTTTAATCTCGTCAGCATTTGGAGTGTGAGGAAGTCTATAGCTTTTGATTTGGCGACGCGACGGGGACGTCGCTTAATATGATCCGGTAAGCTGTCGGCGCGAATACCCTTACAAGGGTATCCACCCTGGTTTTTGCAAGTGACAGGGAGGCTCGGTTAGCATGGATTTTGAGTGCCCGTGCGGGGAAAATGCGATGGTCGCCGCACGCGGGCAAAGGTCTGCCTTGTCCTGATAGGGAGTACGTGGGCGCGCAATTTTTAAGGCGCGCGTGTGATTCGTCTTGAGTGGGCGGCCGGGGTAGCCGACCGACCTGGACCGTGTTACGGCCTTGGTTAGGGAATGAAAGTTTGTTTTTGATCGGTGCGCGCGGCCCAGCGGTAGGATTGGCGCACCGATAGGCGTATGGGACGGCCCGGGCACAGGCTGGTAGGTCGGCACGGACGCTTAGGGGTCGTGAATGTAAATGGGAGCTGAAAAGAGTGGTCAGGGCGGTATCTTGGTCAGGGGCGCCGCGCGATACTGTTTGTATGGGAGGTCGCGCCTGCTGATACCAGGCTTGGGCTTAGCCCTATTGGTTACAATATTGGACTATCGCGGCGCAGGTACGGGGATCGAGGCCAGCGGACGACGGCGCGGGAGCGGCGAGAGGTTTGAGGGGTTGATGGGCTCGTAGGACTATCCCCCTCGCCTTTTGCAGTTATGGCGGCCGCGGTTCCCACCTGGTTATATATATATCTATTTATGAATAATTTCGAATTTTTGCTACTGTTATTCCTCACGCGCGTATGTGGGCGCGGGACCACGGTGGGTGCACCCATGAACTATTGGGATGCAGACCGGCGCTTGGGCCCGGATGACGGAACTTGGCGGGCGGAGCCAGGTACTCCGAGCTGCCAGGGGCCGTTTGACTCCGCGGCCCGGGCTGTGTCCTTCGGGACCTCTATAGTAAGTGGGACGGTGCAGAAAAGATTTTTGTATAACCCCCTCGCACGACTGGCACGCATAAACCCTAGAGCATGGGTTAGGTTCGTGTACAAAGGCAAGGCGGCCCTTGGCCGCACGAACTCTGAGGAGACGAGGGGTAAAAGTTGAAAAGGTGAGTTTCGTAAGATCGGTCCATTTGGTGACGCGGCCGCCGGAGAGAATCTGGGTAAGGCGGAGGGGATCTGTGAAGCCACAAAGGGAGGTCCGGGGATGAACCCGGATGGGAGACGGGGTAAGGGAGAAGGTTTGTGTGGCCTAATAGCCGCACTCAGGAGTGGCGCGCCACGCAAGTCCTTCGGGACATCCGCTAAAATTGGGGCGATGCGGAGAAGATTCGGGCACACATATATCCCGCAATGTGGGGCGGGTTCGTGCATAAGGGTGAGGCGGCGTCGCGGCCGTTCGGATTCAGAGAAGTCGCGGGCGCCCGCCGCGGTGGAAAGTCCTTCGGGATATCCGCTAAAATTGGAACGATACAGAGAAGACTAGCATGGCCTCTGAGTGCGGATGGTACGTATAAAGTTGCGGACACTTCTCCTTTCGGCTGTTTTGCTTCATTCCTAGTACGAACGAACTCGGCGCGATCAAGCTGCTGTGTGCGAGTTGCGTTGACGTTAACGCGACCGAGGGGATGGTGGAGATAGAGGCATTGTGACGGGGTGGTGGCTAGTATGGGCGATCCT